GGGGGGGTTGGGGCAGGAAGCATATCTTGATAAACGCAGTGGAGCCATCCTAAATATAATTCCTCCCCTCCAACACTGTAACGTTATGAAAGCTAGAGTGCACACTATGTGTGATGTGTGTATGTTATGTGCCCTATAAATGTACAAAAGTGGAGCTCTGGTTACTTATCATTAATAATATAATCTGTGTGAATATTACACATAATCCAGGCTGGCTGTCATCACTGCTGAACTTACAGTTAACATAAACACTAATTCCCATGACAATTCATGTAAATGTCTGACAGTTTTATGCCTTCTGGCCCTGTAGGGGCTGGCACTTGTATGTTTTTTTTTTTAATTTAGATTACAATATACACACAGCATTTTTGCAGTTGTTATTTTTTTGTTTTGCATTTGTTTTTCTTGTGATTAGGGAGGCCTGTGATGTTTTGTGATTTGGTTGGAATCCCAGACAACTACTAGTAGAACTGTGGCTCTGCCCTGGGTGTGCATTTTCTTACATGTTCATTAGATGTACTGTCACCTGTCAGACACATTTGTTGCCCTTTTGTCAGTTTGACCCTTGAAATTGATTGGCCTATAAGCACATGACCATATACGTGACCTTCATTTGTGCATGTCTTTTATTGGCCAACATGAATGAGTTTGTATGTGATTGGTTGTTTTTAAACGAATTTTTCCTACATGTTTACTACTTATAGGACTGTTTGTGATGTACAGTGGAACCTCGGTTTTCGTATGCCCTACTTTTCGTACAAATCGGTTTTCAACGACTTTTTTCGTCAATTTTGTCACAGTTTTCATTCATCTGCTCAGTTTTTGTACAGTTGATCACAAGTCCGTACCAAACTCGTCGGCCTGCCTGTGTGACTCGGCCACTCATTTCCTAGAATCGAGCGCCCACACAAAGCAAAGTTTTGTGGAGAAATATCACCCTAACAAAGCTGTTGCAAGCCGTGTCTGGAACATGTTCAATGATAATGCCTTGTTCCATGTTCTTAAAGAGGCGCCAGAAACAGACCTCTCTGGACAGATTTTTTGTGCGACAGGGGTCTAGTGACTCTCAAGCTGGTCCTAGTGCCAGTAAAAGACAAAGAAGGGAAATAACCCCAGATTGGGCCTTGATACATGAAGTCCTTATGGAGGGGGATTCCCCTTCCAAACAATAACCTATCTTCCTCCCTCTCCCCTCCTCGCCATCTTCTATACACCAACAAGAGTCTTCAGTAAAGGTAAAAGTGATGTTAAATGTTCATTTATCCATTTCATTAGTTATTTATATTTATTTCTCATTGCTTTCTGTATGTAAAAATATAGTTATTCTCTATAAAATGTATTTTTTGTTAATATTTTTGGGTGTCTGGAACAGATTTATTGAATTTACATTGTTTCTTATGGGACATATTGCTTCAGTTTTCGTACATTCGGTTTTCGTCGGACTTCTTCGAACAGATTAATCATGGAAACTGAGGTTCCGCTGTACTTCTAAAAAACCCTGAGGAAGGCTCCTTGCCAAAACGCGTTGGTATTTGGTCTTTACATTAAAGTTGCTCAAAACACTGCAAGTACTGCTGGACTTTTTGTTTTCCAGTTTTGTTTTTCCCGTGTTTGTGCACCTTGACAGTGGGTGAAGTTGTGCCAGAAATTGCTACTGTACCAAAATCACTAAACTAGGACAATAAATACACAAAAGAAAACCTTTTTATACAGTAGTTAGATAGATAGACAGACTTTCAAAGAACAAACAGATCTGGGATCATAACAAAATGATCCAACTAACCTGTTAATCCACATACAAAGAATACCCCCAGATTTTCTTTGCAAGCTTTGACACCTAAACAGCATGAACCAAATGGGCAAATGTACCAGATCTGGTTTGAAACCAGCAGAGTTTAACCAACAGGTTAGTTGTGAAAGCATCCCTAAAATACTTGAAATTTGGGTATGGTTAAGTTGTATAAAAAAGATGAGTATGTTGGCTCAGGGTTAAAACTATAAATAGAAAAACTCTACACTAGAGTGAAGTTTTATTATGCAAACCTTTGCTAAATGTCCAGTTTTTCTGATGTACTTCTTACAGTATGATGGTCTGTGATCATGACTTTGGTTTGTTCTGCTATTGCTGTGTGACTTAGGTCATGAGACCAAAGCCATGATGAACAACACAGGGCCGAGGTATAAGCGTAGCCAGCTGGAAAAGCATCTGAACAAAGACATTTTGTGGTGTGTGGTCCTGCTCTTCATCATGTGTCTAACTGCTGCTATAGGTATGTACCCACATTGACTGACAAAACACATCTGTCTTGACAACACATCTGTCAACATCAGCAATATTCATGCAGTGTACATTAGACTGTGTAAAATTACATGTAGAAAACTCAGGAGCCAGTATTTCTTCTGCATACAGCCACTAAAAGAACAATGACAAAAAGACAGTAATTGATCCAGAAAATAAGGGATGTCAACATGGGTGGAGGGAAGGGGGGTGGCCAGTGGCCATATGATTGCCCCCACCAGAGTCAAAGTGTGATGCTTGTCAGTATTAATGAATGCAGCCAAAGTTAGCTAAAGAAACACTATGTGTGTCTCATGTTTACATAAAACAAACAATTTGATTCTTAAGGTCTTTACACACCAGAGGTGAATTTCTTGTGTGGTTTTTTTTTTTGCATGTCAATAATTTTTTAACCCTGGCAATGAACCCTTGTACATAAACAATGGAATATCGCTGAGTGAAAAGCAGCATTTATTTTTTTTTTACCCCAAGGTTAGTTTTTTTTAAACTTGCCGCAAGCAACAGGAACACATAACCAGTCACGATGCAGTTTGTTAGAACATTGCAACATTGTTACCATGAGCACATGGTTCACCTGTCAGCTAAACCTGTCTGATTTATCTATTACAGTGGTGTTCAGTATATATTTTACGTCAGACATATGGCCAGGCTCTGTTCTGGTTCAGCCAGGTCATTGTAATTGCTTCTCTGTCTCTTCAAGTGCTGTGGCAGCAGCACCAACTCCTCAAATAGTCCCACAGACATCCTAATGTAGGTTGATAAATGACCATGGAGTTTCAGCTCTTGTATCAAGCACTGAAACTTTCTAAGTTGCCTTTTTATCAACATGGGATGTACTCCTGGTATTTAGCAAAACCAGCACTTGCAGGTCATCATCGCTTGATGTGGACTTTTGTAACCTTTTTAGAACTTCACATTCTATATTCTCATAGCGCTTGGTGTGAATATATGTGGTGTGTTTCAGTCGCCTTCAAAAAAAATGGTGATTTCATAATGTTTATTTGCTCCGCTCTTTATGTGAAAAGACCTTTAATAGTGTATGGTTTATTATTTTATAGAACTAATGGTTTAATTTACTTTTTACATGCGTTTCAAATGTGCCAGACTGGTCACATTGTCCAAACCTTCTTAGATCCACCCCTGGGTGCCCAGCTTTAATTTTCAGTTGCTTGGTGTGATGAATGTGTTGGTGTGTTCAGGTCATGGCCTCTGGCTGAAGAACCTCAAGGACCCTGTCTTTCAGGTTGATGAGGAGATGTCTCCTGCCCTGGCTGGATTCTGTGTCTTCTGGACTATGATCATTGTGCTTCAGGTATAATGCTAATCATTTCAGTCCCAGGTCAAAAACAGAATTTTGCACACTTATTAAAGTTCCTTATTTGCTATAGTTCTAATACACCTTACTAGATCTAATACACCTTTCTATTTCAGGATAGCAAAAGATATTTGGGAATGAATAAACGTTTAATTGAATAATGTTTTTAGTCTCTGCAAATCTTAGGTAGATTTACACTTTAGGTTCACGCACCATTTTACCATGTCACTAAACTTTTGACTTCATGCATGTAAAGAGTCGACACCTTGACTGTCCTTATTTATAGCAGAATTAAAAATAACAGTCAACCAATTTGGAAACAATAGTAAAGTGGAATTACACTGAGACATGCAGCAAGACGGCCACTTCACAGTGAGCTCTGGCCAAAACAATAATTACGAATGATGGTACTTAAGTTTTAGCAAACCTCTATGTAACCTCTGACCTCACACTAGGAGATGCCCCAGAGAGAAAACCTTAGCTGCGACTCACTCATGAAACAAAGCTCTGGGAAATGTTTCAAAGCAAACTCCACTCAGCTAGCTGGCCTGATATAGCAGACAGCAGGTGGTAAAGGCCCAAACAGATCTGCTCAAGAGCATGATGTCTGAAATGCTAACCGAGATTTTTGGTTGAGCCTTAAAACCAATTGATGGGAGTATAATGGAGAACATATTGGTGCTTCGCTCCCACAAATCAAAATCGATGCACAAGCCAAAACCAAGGAAACAATGTCCGCTAAACTAGAGACCCTGCATGTGAATATCCATCTAGCTAGGAAGGATGCAGACCACTGCATCTCTCAAATGGAAGGACACAAGAAGATTAGTGAGCTGGAGGACAGATCCAGGAGAAACAATGTAAGGGTGATAAACCTCTCAACGGGTGCCGAGGGAGAGTACCTTTAAACCTACACAGAGCCTACGCCGTAGGCTACATAAGTGGCCTATTCTGTTGTGAGCATTTATGTGTCACCCTGCAATTACACCATCAAAACGATAGTAGTGATAGGGTTTCTACCACCTCAAACACTCAAAGGACTGAAACAACTTTAAAAAATTTCCACTGGGCAACTAATCAATTACTAAATACACCTACCCCACAGTGTAAACAACTTTTAGATTATAGTACTTGAGTAAAAACTCATACTTTCTAAAACTGATGTTAAGAAATGCCTGTTGACCGAACACCTGAAGCTATAGACACGATCAGTCACCCTGTCTATATGTGAGGCAGCACTTTGTCTCCTCTTTGCCGTTTTGCCTCCCTTTGTTTGTGTGCTACCAGCTTGTTGTTTGCAGTGGAAGAGGGGATGCTGATGAAAAATAAGCAGCCAAAGGCTACCGCAACCTCGAGTAGCCCTGCTCTCCAAGCCACTGTTTTACCAGACAATGACTGTTGAAGGAATAGTTGGAGGTCTGCGTGTCAGGAAATGTGTGATTAGGACCCAAAATAAGCAGACCTTACAGGGCTTGAAACCAGGAAAAAATGTATTAAAATAACAGTGCTTATGGTGGGTGGCAAGAGGCTGAGCCGTTTCTGGGCTGGCAGGATGAGCAGTGGGGAACTGGGGACAGGTCGGGCAAGAACCAGGAAGACCAGAGGACTGGGACGTGGAGGTGAATAGACAAGTGGAAGGCAGAGTAACATTAATAGACCAATATTAATTTAGAGTTACAGTTGTTTTATTCTAACTTTAAATTTAATTTCTTTTAATCTTTACACCTATAACATATTTAGACAGCAACAAACTAAGTCTGGGAGCTGCTGGTCAGTCTTATTCCCACAGGAAACCCTATTATAAATCACTAGAATCAGAATCAGCTTTATTGTCCAGGTGTGTTGGACGCATAAGAAATTTGGCTTTGTTACAGTGGCTCTTGATGTGCATATACAGTACATATGCTTCTGTAAAGCAGCAAATAGACAAACAATATAAGCCTGAGAGAACAAAAAGGAAAGAAAAATGATGAAAATTCTCTTGGAGAATAAAATGGTTTGCAGTTGATGAAGACTCAAAACTTTATTTCAACCTTATAATAAATATGTAAAGTTCCAAATATATGGAAAGTTACAACTATTAAGCCACTGCCTAAGAGGCCTGGGGTTCTTAAAAGTCTTAATGACTTTTGTACTGTCACCCTGACCCCTGTACTGGTGAAATGTATGGAGAAAGTGGTCAGTAAACATCTTACTTCAGCTTTGGCAGAACTTCAGCTATGGCAGATCAGCTGGACCCTCTACAATTTGCATATAAGCCACACAGGGGCACAGAGGATGCAGCATTAAATTTGGTTAATATGGTTACAAGTCACTTTCTGAAAATGTAGACCTATGCTCAGATCTTTGTTCTTGATCTGAGTTCAGCCTTCAATACAATGAGGAAACATATCTTGCTTCAACAGCTGTCGAACACGATTGTGACTGGGGGACAGATCAGACCTTTAACTGATTATCCACAGAAGGTTTGTTTCAATGGTGTTAATTCAGATGAAATTGTAATTAACACTGGTGCACCCCAGGGATGCGTTTTATTGTCATTACTTTTTTCTGTTAATATTATTGATGTGCAGCTGCAGGACAGCAGTGTCAGATTAACGACATGGCTATGGTTAGACTTTTTCTTGCTAATAGTAATTGTGATTCCTTTTCCCAGGTACATAAAATGGAGGAATGGTGTAGCACTTGTTCTTTGTTGATCAATGTCGATAAAACAAAGGAGCTTATTTTAAACAATACAGGCCTCACAACAAATTTTACTTTCAATGAGGCTGTGGAAATGGTTGATGTTTTTAAGTATTTGGGAATACATATAAACTGAATTTTATAGATAATCCTGATGGCACTTACAAAAAAGCCAATCAGAAATGTTTTCCTTATTAGGAAACTAAAAGGCTTTGGAGTAGGAGTGTGGTTTAATTGAGAGTATCCTGCAATTTATTTTAAAAGTTGGCAAAAATTGTTAAAACTGCTGGAAAGATTTATAGGCCAACCACAAACCTCATTGCAGTTGTTCTATGAAATGGCTGTCTTCAGGAAAGGGTTAGGGATTGTGGACTTGCTTCCTGTTCTGTGCTCTTATTTTGTTAGATTTCCTGTTCTGTGCCATTTCACCTGCCTCAGCTTGACTCCGGTTCATAATTACCACTCATTGTTTCCACCTGTCGCTTGTTTTCCCCTGGTGTCCAGCCTTTATATTCTTGGTTCACTTATCATGTTGTTAGGGTGTCCATCCGGTGCTTGCGAGGTCTGTCCGGTGCTCCCGACATACGTTCAGTGCTCATGTCTCGTGTGCTTTGTGCCCGATCTTTCCTTGACTCGTGTTTTTCTGTTGGACACTTATAAGTTTGGACTTTACCCTTGCCTTGCCTATGGACTTGGTAATTCCTGAATAAGTCTGCCTTCTTCATTTTTGTTTCACCTGTCCCAAGGAGATTGTTACGTTTTGGCTCCCATACTGTTTTAAGATTTTAGTTTTCTGAATCTGTAGAGTGAAGCCCTGTCAGGTTGAGCTTGTTGTTGTTTTTCTTGCTCCTCTTTAGTTTAATAAACCGTATAAACACTAGGTTCCTGTTTGTGTCAGCATTTTGGGTCCTTCCCAGCCTGAAACGTAACCAATCATAGCGATCCAAAACACCTTCCGTACTCAGAGTTTGAAATGATGCCCTCAGGATGCAGATACAAGGTACCTCTAGCAAGGTCTAGACCTTACTGTTATTATTATTATAATAGAGGAAAAACCCAACAAATCCCTCTTGAGCAAGCACTTAGTGATAGTAGGGAGGAAATGACACAGCCTTATAAGCATCATCAATATTTCTATAACATTGATCAAGAATTCTTATACAGCAAGCTGCACAATCAGCATACTGTTGGAGGTTAGGGAGGTGAACTGCCAAAGACAAGGTGTTAAATCCCCCAGAATAAACAGCGGCTGTTTGCCAGCACATATATAGCATATGTCAGCAGCCTCCTTACTAGGCCCTGGAACATACACCATTGAGGTAAGTAAAAGGGTCTAAATAAGACAGTTAAAGTCTCATAATCCCTTGTACATGTTTGTACAATTATAATGAAGTGTGTTGCCCAATTAGTATCCACCAATATGCATAAGTCCATCACCAATTGACTTTTTTCATTTGTTCTTATCTCTGTCCACTGGGATCACAGCATAACCAGGCACCTCCACAACACAGCTGTGGTTTGGCCAGGTTTCTATTAGAAGTACTTGTCATGACTTTAAATGCATCATGCAGAAGGTATAATAAATTTCTGTCCCAACAGGTGCTGATCCCTATTTCTCTGTATGTGTCCATTGAGATTGTGAAACTGGGCCAAATCTATTTCATCCACAATGACTTAGCCCTGTACAATGAGCAGCTGGACTCCAGAATCCTGTGCCGAGCCCTCAACATCACTGAGGAACTGGGTCAGATACAGTACCTGTTCTCTGATAAGACAGGAACTCTGACAGAGAACAAGATGGTGTTCTGCCGCTGCAGTATCTATGGGGTTGAATATCCTCATGAGGAAAATGGTAAGAGCGGATAGTATAACTGCAAAAAACCTTTGACTTTTATTTACCTTGTCCTCATTTCCATGTTTGTTGCAGGCTAGACATGTTGACAGGCACAAGGGGTGTCTTTCCTTCCTTGCTAAAAAGATCCAAGATCAAATAAGTAATCCTGGATTTTGTAATGTTATCTGGATATTTCAGTTCTTCAACCCCCTGTGTTGTGAATTAGAAAAGCTGGATTCAGTGGTTGTAATCACATGACACAAGGTTGAGTTCTGAATGGATGTAATTACTTTATTATTATTTTTAATTAAGATCATTATTTGGTAAATATCAAATCATGTTGTACTGGTGGTTACAGATTACACTGACAGCAAAGCTCAGACCTGACCCCATAGCTTTGTTCTACAGTATACAGTATGTGTTGTAAATCCTATGTTTGTGTTGTGTGTCAGCTCATAGGCTAAAGATGTATGAAGAAGAAAAGACTGAGGCAGCTGTTTGCTCCATGACTTTGAAGTCTGGCTACAGTGTTAAATCTTTGAGCTGTCGTTCACTCGGTTGCAACCGGAGCTCTGTGTCTCTAAACACACTCAACACTGAGTCAGAAGAGGAGGAGGACCAACTGTTTGGGAAAAGGACCAGTGCCTTCTGCAGTCGCATGGTCAGACACACATTAACACTGAACATTTTTGTATCTCACACTAGGTATATTCAATTTGAAATACAATAATGAAAAATCCAATAAAGTGCCAAGTGCCAGCTTTGAGATGATTTACAAAGAAAGAACTATGTGTAAGATCTGGCCCTTTTAACATCCATCCAATATCTATACCACTTATCCTAACGAGAGTCACAGGGGGGCTGGAGCCAATCCCATCTGTCATTGGGTGAAAGGCAGGGTCCACCCTGGACAGGTTGCCAGTCTGTCACAAGGCTGACATCTAGACAAAACAACCACACACTCATGCCTATGGGCAGTTTAGAGTCAACCTAAGCTGCATGTCTTTGGACGGTGAGAGGAAGCCAGAGTACCTGGAGAGAACCCACACAGGCACAGACTCTGCAGAGAAAGGCCTTAGGTCGGCCCGGGCTCGAACCTGGAGCCATCTTGCTGTGAGGTGACACCGCTAACAACTGCGTTGCTGTGCCACCCTGGTCCTTTTAACACATTATATACAATTGCAGGAGTTCAAAAGTAAAATGGATACTATTAAATAAAATGTTTAAATGTTTCTTGGTCATTTTTATGTTAGTTTACTGACAAAAGCGGTATATGATTTGATTTGATTTGATTTATTCATTCAAGCATATAAAAAAACAGTTGATATAACAACACACATTTTTACCCACAATCCAATATCCCTTTGCTTATACCTAGTACATGCTTGAATGGAGTAGGAAGAAGTCAGACTTATCCAGTCCTACCCCATGACATCTTACCATCATTGGTTTGCAAGCAATAAATGATTCACTTCTACACACACACATATTACTACACACACACATAT